AATCGCACCACTGAGAGCCAATCAGATTGCAAGGATAACCAGTGATTTCAAAATGGATTTAATAAATAATGAAACCCAAGTTTATTTATTTTCCTGATAATCACCAGCTATATCTCCTTAATAGGAAATTAAGAACCTAAAAAAAGTGTGTAAAGTGAACAGAGATAAACTTGCGTTGACTAATCGTCGATGGATGTGTAAAAAAGGGCAAAAGATTGACGATTACCGTTAACTTTTAGGAGAGACGTTTAGGCAGAGGGGAAAAACTCGGGCCCATGGGCCGTATCGTAAAAAACTGAACCGATCACGTCCGGATGATTAGCCCATCAAATTCGAGGATTTTGGATTCCGGCCCGCTCAGATGCTTGAGAAAAAAATAAAAGAACATATTTTGCCAGACTTCAAAAAATGGAGGTTCTTACACGCGGGTTTTGTACTGTATTACGTCACGCTGGCGAGGTTTTTACTGTTACAAACCTGCTTTTCTTTTTCTGCAGTTTGTAATGTCTCCCGTAACAATGTCATTTGATTTTCAATTCCAGCTTTTTCCTCCGTAAGCGATGTTAATTTCCCTTGCAACACGTTGCGTTCATTTTCAGCTGATAAAATCCTCTCCTCCAAGGTTGACAGATTGCTGAGTAAATCGTTCCTTTCCTGCGCGGCTCTGTCCAACCTGCTGCTTAACTCCTGCATGAAAAGCGACAATAAAAATTAAGGCGAAGCAAAGAAAGCCTCTTTTGGTCTTAACTCTAGTGCTATCATACCCAACCAGTTTTTGGAGCAGAAAAATAAGAATAAAAGGAGATTTGTAACTGATTACAGAACTTTGTAAAATAGACCATATTCGTATTCTCGGTTTTGGACTAGAACTAGCTTGCAATGGAGGTTCATGCGGGAGAATATCATTAAAGAGGGATAAATGTCATTTGCATTTGAAAAGACTCAGCGCATTAGCCGCAGTTAAAAGCTAGTTCCAGTCCATACCAAGAATACGAATATGGTCTATTCTCATTCTCGAACTAGCATCAAACAAGAACGAACTTTGACGAGTGTGTACAAGATTTCAAACTCCGCTGTGGTCTTACCGCAAACTCTCATATAGCCTGCGTAACAAGTCACGGTGTTCTGGCCGTTTGCCCCACCACCCCCTTCTCCGTCGATTTTGTGCTCCCGCCCAAAATTCCGCGCGATCAGCAGGTAAGAAACTCTTCCCTCGTACGGCACGCTTGATACGCAGACTAACTCTCATAGGCACTGTCTGGTATTCTCATCAAATTAAACCCGCTGAGATTTTCACAGAGTAGACCGAAGTTTCTGCTGGTTTGACTGGCACCCGACAGTAGCATGAGACTTTACGGCAATGACAATGACATCCTCGCAACGATTATGTTTCCTCGCGGCACAATTCAGGATCAAATATCACACACTCAGCTCGTTAGACCAGACTGATATAATGTGTGATTTCCGAGAAAATTTCTTGTCCAACAGTCATTCCTCGATTGCCACTCTCTGTAGTTATCCTTTCATTGATTGCTACCACATGGCTTATCAAAATTCCCATACTTTTCCTTGACAAAAATACAATTTCCCTGACCAAATATGTACAAAATGTCAGATCTAGTAGCGGCTTCTAGCGTAAACTTACACCCCTCCGCGTTTTCACTCGTACAAAAAGACGATAAGTTTTCAATAAATCTTCTCCTTTATAACGTAAAAATGTCGATGAGATCACAGTGACCCCAAATGTTTCTTCCAGCAATCAATGGTATTAAATCAGTCTTGTTAAATTATTTCGATTTTCCCTGACTTTTCTTCAAAATGTCAATTTTCCCTGACTCTAAATAAGATTCCCTGACTTTTCCCTGACCTCGAAGAATTATTTTTCCTGACCATTTTCTGGCCTGTGGCAACCCTGTGATTTGGTCTTCAGTTCACTTCTATTTTCTAACCAGAGAAAGACAACATCTAGTTCATCCTCAAAGGCAATGAGTCGACACTCAAATTCCTAACACAACAAACCTGCTTTTCTGTTTCTAGACTCTCCGTCACCGACGCCAGTTTCTTTTCAACTTCATCTTTTGCCTCTGTAAGCGCATTCATTCTATCTTCCAATATCGTTCTTTCTTGGTCAGCTGATAAAATGCTCTCCTCCAAACTCGAGACTTTGCTGAGCAAATTACCCTTTTCTTGAGTGGCATCGTCCAACCTGTTGCTTAATTCCTGCACGAAAAAAAAAAAAGACAAACACGGTTATCTTCCTTGATTGCAAGCATCCTGCACTGTCGTCATTTCATTTGCTCACGCGGGTTTGGAATACAATATGGCCAACTCCATGAGCGGGCAAGATGAACCAAATCCCGAGCTGTGATTGGCTACCCGAGAGGGCAAGATGGCGCTATCTTGCCCCCTCGGGATTACGCGTTGTGTCCCGCAAGAAAAAATTTCCGGAAGCCGAAGCTGAAGCCATATAATAAATCCTTTATTGACCAAGCTTGTCAGGTCAAAATGGCTGGATATTGGCCACGTTCTTATTTTGAGTGTTGATGGACCTCAAATCCGTCTCGGTCATGCATAAACACGCAAAAAAAATAACTTGGCCAATATTTAGCTCTTATGAACCCAGCAGGAGGTCTGTATGGGAAAAGTTTGACCGAGGTCGTGAGTATACACACGACCGAGGTCTACTGGTTTGCACTGGCTAACATTTTGTTGGCGATCACCTGAACTTAAATCTGCCAAAGTTTGCTCGTCCTCTTTACTTTTTTTTTTCTCATCAGGCTTTTTGGCATTTCCATAAATTATGGGAAAAGAAAATAGAAGACACTGGTCAAAATTTTTGTATTTTAGTTTGCAACTTTTTAGCCGCAAAATATAACCGGTCTAGATGCCGGTCTAGATGGGAAAATCTAGACCGCGGTCAATATCTATTTTAGCCAATCAAATTCGTGAATTCGGTAGTTCCCATTCTTTGTGAGACTCAGCTATATAATAACCCCTCATCTTGACCAAACAAGCTTGGTCAGTAACCCATATATATTCCCCCAGAATGCAATGGCGGTAGATAGCCCCTCTGTTGTTAATCCACATGTTGATAGTCCCACATACATATCCCCTTGTTAACAGGACCCCTCCCTACTGCAGACAGTCACCCTTTTGATGATCTCTTGATGAGCAGTCAGTCGTTAGATTTTTCACCTATTAACAGTCCCCTGGGATATAGTTCTTCTTCCCAAAGTCCCTGTCTGGATAGCCCCCGATAGATATTCCCCTGTCCATAGTACCCATGTACAATATCCCTCTTAATGTAGTCCCCCACCTGTAGCCTCAGCACCCGAGAGACAGTCTGCCCACCTTGTGGGCAGTTTAGCTATATTTTATTCTACTGTCAATTTCTTTGTAGAAAGTACCATTTTGTTGTCTTTTTTCGGCGGTACAACGCATACCCATTTTGTCACCGCATAATTAATAGAGGGAAATGGTTAGGAAGGACGGTAAACATCAAACAAGCAAACAAACAAGCTAAGATTTATGTTGGAAGGTCCTTGACCCTGCACATCTTTTGTTTTATACTCATTGCCTATGCATGAATCACATAATTGCAATGCTTCTATTGGTTAGTTGTATGAGCACACATAGCCACTCTATGTATTTTGCCAGGTTTTGTGCAGGGTCAAGCCCCAAAATAGCAAACAAAAACATACAATAAAGAACTTTTCCAAGTTTCCTGACCATTTCAGTAGTTCCATACTAACCTCTTTTTCCTTCTGTTCAACGTGAAGATTCTCTTTCAGCTCTGACAACTGATCCATCACAGATTGAAAATCCTTGTAAAGAGCAGCTTTTTCTACTGCCACCGCATTCAGTTGGTTTTCGAATGATTTCACTTCACTCCTAAGCTCACCTCTTTCTTGTGACATGTTCTTCAACTCTGCTTGCAGAGTCTTCAAGAAAAATACAATCCTTGCAGTTAGCTTTAATAAATTGATTTACAAACAAGCGTGATTTCTAAAAGGGACATGGCATAAGGTATTTATTACAAGGAAAAAAATCAGTCATGAAACATGATCCTGTGAATTAAACAAAAATGTTTTTAAAAGTCAACACTCAATAACAAGGCACACCCATTCCTAGCTTTGATGCTAATTAGTGGATGCAATTTAATTGCAATTTCTGTAGTGCTGTTATTTCTCCTGGAAAGGGAGGGAAGTTTATTGCAGGCTGGCCACCCCCAGGTTTTTCTCTGGCTGACTTAGTAATTCATGTAAAAAATCATAATCAAGAAACGACCAAACACAGGCAAGACTACTTTCCAATGGCAGATGATCGAGAAACTGCAAATTACTTTTAATTACTAGATGAGGCTTTACAATGTACTTCGGTAATCCCATACCTGGTTTTGCTCTGATATTTGACTGTGTTCTTCTTTAGCAGATTCCAAAGCCTTTTGTAACTTCTCCCTTTCAGCGACTAGTTTCTCGGTCTTCTTAAGATTTTCCTGCAATTAAAGAAAGGCAACCAAGTCTTAACTTGAGAGAGCAATCACAAAAAGAGTTAAGTAGACGGCACTGAACCCCTAAGCCCCTCAAGCCAGTTAACGAGCATTTTTTTTTTTTTCATCTGTGAATAAACTTCCAAAGTACACAACGTGGTTCAAACTTTTACGTCCACGGATGAACCCCACTGTGTGACCGTGAAAAAGAAAGCTACTGAGCAGTACTTTCATTTGGTTCTGTTTGTTGTGTTGTACAACGTGGCTCTGACATTTCGTCTCTGAACGAAACTAAAGTATGTGACCACCTGAATAAAAGCTTACAAGCAGTACGTAGGTCATAGAAAAGCTGGAAAATTGCCCTTATCACAGTTATCAGCCTCATTAGTGAAGCATCTACAAATTATAGAACTTCCTTTCTCCATTTGAAAAGTAACCCCTGCACATTCTAGCAAGTTCAGTTGTTTATGGGAAAGTTCATGTTTGCCTTTACTAGGCTGCAGGACATCAAATGTACACATAACTCAAAGTCTAGTACCTTATTGCCTTTACCACACGTCGTGAAATGTTCTTCCCACTGTTTTTTCAGTGCATCATATGCACTCTGTACTTTATTTCTTTCACTCTGTGCGAACTGAAGTTGTTTCTGGCCATCCTTCAACATAATTATGAGACATGAGCACGGTTTTCAATTTAGTGCTGTAAGACCAAAACCAAAGTAGTCACTCCAGCCAATCACAAAGGAATCAATCAGCCAATCACAATCCAGTGAACCAATCAAAACCTCGAAGTAATTGAATGTAGCTGACGTAAAGCGCGGGAAAACGAGTGCGAGCGAGCTACGATTGGTTTTGGTTTTACTCCTGATTGGATGAAAAAGTGGTGCGAGTTTTTTTAAGCCAATCATGTAGCGTAGTTGATGCAAAACCAATTACTTTTCAAATCTCAAATGGAAACTACTCTATTACTATACCACAGTATTGCGCTTAGAATCGAAATTTACATCCA